CTTGAAAAAGGATAACTACGCCGACGAAGCGCCGGAGATTGCTGGAATTTTGAAGTCCCAGAAGGTGAAGGGCACCGCGCTCCTGAAGTTGACCTTTGAGCGGCTAGTGGATAAGCCCTACAACATTGTGGCGGGCCCTGCTGAAGTCCTGGCCGAGCGCATCGCTGCCCTGTCTGCCCCGCCGACGGCCGCGAGCGGATTCCAGGTGGGGGCCTCAGCGGAACGCGAGTGGAGGGGTGCCGTGGGGCCACTGGGGAAGTTGCAGTGCAGCTCTTCGTCAGGACGACCCAGCTGCCACGGAGTTCATCCGGGAGCTGGCCGAGGCTATGCCAGAGCCCTTGCGTGAAGGCCGCTTGGGGGCTTGGGGTGGGTGATCTCTTTTGTCGGCGCCACCGTTGCAGGCGTGCAGGTCTTCAACCTCAAGACGTCCCTGCCCGTAGAGCCCTACGACCAGAGCGGGCCAAAACTATTGACCCGCAACACGACGCGCCGGGCCTGGAAGGCGACCTTCGAGCTCATGAAGGGAGGCACAAAGCGCGTGGCCATGTTGGGCGTCCCGGGCATCGGGAAGAGCCGCAATTTGGCGCTGGGCCTCTGGCACCTGGTGACGGGCCAGCTGCCAGACGGGATTCCGCAGCCCGAGGCCATCGTGTTCGAAGCTCGGCAGAGCAGCAGGGTCTTCCTTTTCACCAAGGGCCAAGGTGGTGGCCAGTGGAAGGTGCAGAGCCGCGACATGCAAAATTGGAGCCCTTCAGGCTGCCCGCACCTGCAGCACTCCACGAACTGGTACCTAGTGGATGCTTTCGAGGCACGCAACCCCACAATGTTGGTTGCCAAGACAGTGATCGCCTGCAGCCCTGACCGGAACCACTACTCGAACTTTATCAAAGGCGCCGGCTGCTGCGTTTTTATTGAATCGTGGTCGAAATCCGAGCTCCAAGTGGCATCAGATCAAATTAGAGCCGGTGCGGACATGTTGTCTAGGTACGACAAGATCGGAGGAAATCTGCGGGCCCTTTTGTCAGCGGAACACTACTTCGATAAGTATGTGAAGGACCAGGAATCTGAGGCCAAGGATTGGCAGCACTTGCAGCCTGCCTTCTGTGGCACCTTGGACAACCAAGGCAAGAAGCTTCTCACCCGCCTCTTCACCTACATCAGCAAGGATGCCCTCAAGTACGAGGTTGATTTCTGCTGCGCTGGCGCTGCCGCGCTGGTTGCGAACGCGCACTACGACAAGCTGGTGGAGCTCTGGAGAGGGCAAGATGAGCCCGCGAGGTACTGGTTCCAAAAGTTTGTCGGACCCCTGCTGACCTTCTCGTGGTTTCACAAAAAGTTTGCAGCTTGGACTATCACCAATGAGGGCTCCGCTGATCGTGCTTCCTGGCAACGGAAGAAGTGCACGGACTTGATGATCGCAGAGAACTTGCAGTTAGTGGAATGCGATTCCACAACCATTTTTGAGGACAGATGGCAGAAGGCACTGCAGAACGGAACCCTAGCGCAACAGGTTTTGAGTAGCCCAGCCGGTTACCCGGGCATCGACTACCTGCTGGAGTTCAACCACGGCATCCAGGTGACCACATCCGGAAAGCACAACCTTGCACAGGAGTTTCGCCAGAAGTTGAAGACGATGTTCAATGGAACTCGCCACAGTTTCACTCTCACGTTTTTCATTACAGGAGATCCTGAGAGATTCGCGCCGGTCGGAGGTGATTTCAACGCACTAATGAACATGGCGGGGCCATCAAAGTCGTTTGACAATGTTTGTGTACAGGTCGTGCAGATTCCGAAGACGCTCAATAGCCTGAGTTGAAAGCTATGCTGCGGGGAGATCTTGGGTGTGTCTGCAGCACTTGCGGTGGCTTTCGTCTTGCTTCTTTGCATCCTGAAGCTGTCAGGGGGTGGCTCGTCTCGACCCATGGCCGAAGCCTGGAGTGAAAGCCAGGCGCAGCAGGGCTGGTTCTGAGTCGGGGCTTGCAGTGAAGTCAATTCAAGGAGCCTCTGAATGGTTGTTGTCAGCCAGCTGCGAAACCCTCATGCCTTTTCAGGTTTGCTGTGGATTGCAACAGTAAAGCGGGGATGCGTTAAAAGCGGGGATGCGTTTGTCTCTGTGAGAGGCTTGGTGAATGCTGTCAGAAAAGGCACGGGTGAGACTCAGACCCCGCAAAACCTGAGAAGCGTGACGAATCTTAGGAATGAGCGGGGGCGCGGATTAGGGTTGATGTTGGTCGACCCCAAGCGGCGCGGATGCACAGCGAAGGCCCAGCTGATGCTTGAGACGCTCATCTGTCCCGTTTGAAGCTCAGATGGAGGGCCTCTGAGAGAAGCCGAGTGGAGCTTGGGGGGCGGATCAATTTACCCCGAAACTCCACCCCTCAAGTTTCAAGTGAGCGCGCCGTCTGCCGGG